ATGAACTCTGTGGACAAAAATATGCTTTACTTTTCCTTCTGTGATTTTAACAAAAATGGTGAGGGACAAGATACTGCTACTTCTTCTGAATACAGAAAAATTGCTATGTAGCCAGGCATGGTAAAGCACGCCTATAATCCCAGCAACTCAGAATACTGAGGCAGGAGGATCATAAATTCAAAGCCGACTTCAGCAATTTACCAAGACTCTATTGCAAAATAAAAAGAACTGAGGATGTAGCTCAGTGGTAAAGCACACCTAGCTTCAATACCTCCACCTCCCCACACCCCCCAAAAAACCTTATTGTCTAATAGCTGTAGTAACATCCTTTCTAAAAGCTATTTTTAAGCCAGATGTGGTGGCATGTGCCTATAATTTCAGCAAATCAAGAGGCTGAGGAAATAGGATGACAAACTTGAGGCCAGCCTCAGCAACTTAGGGAGGCCCTGTCTGAAAATTAAAAAAAAAATAAAAATAAAAAGGGATGGAGGTGTAGCTTGGTGATACAGTGCTCCTGGGATCCATCCCTAGTACTGCAAAATAAATAAATAAATAAAACTTAAAACTAAAACTATTTTTATATTTTTATAGACTGATGTCCAAGTTGGCCTTGAACTTCTGGACTCAGGGATAGCCTTACCCTCCAGAGTACCTGGGATAACAAATGTGTACCACCACACCCAGCTCACTTGCACTCATTTGTACCATATTCTACAACTTAACACAGGTCAGCTCTAGTTCAATGCAGAAAAGAAATACACAAGAGCATGACTAGCAAGAGAGGAAGAACATTAGGGGTCATCCCAGTAGCCAGCACTGTACCTTTTTTAGGTAATTATAAATCTATAGCTTTTACTTAGAGTGAAATGGGAAGCTAGTGAAGAAATCTGAGCAGAGAAATTATCTGATTTATGTTTTAGGAGTATAACTCTGTTTGCTGTGTGAATAGATAGGAGAGGGACAAGGAAATAAGCTAGAAGACCAATGGGGAGGCTATTATATCACAAGAGAGAGATGACTTGATGGAGTACAGTAATAGTGGAGTTGATGAGAATTAGTGATATTCAGGATATATATATATATATATATATATATATATATAAATTTTTATTAGTTATTGATGGACCTTTATTTATTTACTTGTTTATACATGGTGCTGAGAATCGAACCCAGTGCCTCACACATGCTAGGCAAGTGCTCTACCACTGAGTCATAACCCCAGCCCCTCAGGATATATTTTGAATACAGCAATTATAGGATTTGCTGATGTACTGGATGTGTGATATGAGAGAAAAGAATTAGGGATGGCTCCAAAGGTTTTGGAAGAATTATAATAATGAATTTGATATAGACCTTGCTGTAAATGAGTTTGTACCACAGAAGAGAGAGGGCACATGAAAGAAAAGTGGTGCAGGACTAATCACACACACACCTGGGATAAGAAACAGGATTATTGTCAGGAGCCTGACAAGGCTGCTCTGCACAAAGAGAGGGACAGCAGCAGCATCAAGGAGGGAGAGCAGCAGCAACCCCTCCTTGAATGCTACCTTTTATAGGCTAGATCATGGCAGTGCGCTAGGGGCGGGTTTAGCCTTGACTGACATAGTAAACCTCCCCTGATCTTGTAGAAGGCAAGTTTGTTTCTTGGGAACAGAGACAGGCGGTTTTCCTATCTCTCAGAGGGGGAACAGAGAAATCAGCATGTCCCTTTATCTTCTCAAGGAGAGAACAGGGAAACCAGTATGTCCCCATCTCAGGGGCCAGTAAGTTGTCTCCTATCTCTCAGTGAGAGGACAGGGAGAGACCGGCATGTCTCCAGGGCAGCAGGTTTTATCTCAGGCTAGTTTCTATTCTTGGGAATAAGAACAGTATTCATAAAGTGGGGGTAGGGAAAAGGAAGATGGCTGCAATTATGCTAACAGCACATACACCAGTAACTATGCCACGTGGCAGAAAGCAATGTATTCCATAATAAAGCACCAAACTTATATGCCAAGTAAGATGAAAAAGTTCTGAAGACATTTGGTGGAGATGGTTGCACAACAATGTAAATGTGCTTAATGTCAATGAAGTGTACACTTAAGAATATGTTGCAATGGTAAAATTTCATGTGCATGTTACTATAATAAAAATGATGCTGGGCTGAGGCTATAGTTCAGCATGTGTGAGGCACTGGGTTCAATCCTTAACATCGCATATAAATGAACAAATAAAATAAAGGTATTCTGTCCATCTACAACTACAAAAAAAAAAAAGATTCTATAAAAAAATTCAAGTGCCAAAATAGTTCAGAAGATGAAGAGATAATCTTTAGCCAGGGGAATTAGAGAAGACTTTGTGTAGGGACAGGCTGAATAGACTAGAATAGACCTAGGCAAAGGGAGCAGTTTGAACAAAATAATGAAAAGCAGGAACCCTGGGAACAAGACAGGTGAGAGTAAACATAAAGCTAAAGAAGTGCTATTTTTTTTTGTGTGTGTGTGGTGGGGTACTGGGAAATGAACCCAGGGGTGCTCTACCACTGAACTGCTTCCCAAGCCCTATTTATTTATTTATTTATATTCTGTGTAACAGCCTAAATTACCAAGTCTGACCTCAAACTTGCAATTCTTCTGTGTCAGTCTCCCAAGTTGCTGGGAATATAGGTGTGTGTCACCACCTAGGTTTTAAGAAGTTTTAATATTTTTTCTTTTTCTTTCTTTCTTCTTTTTTGGGCAAGGGGTAGGGAGTATCAGGGGTTGAACTCAGCGGGGCTTAATCCCTGAGTCACATCCCCATCCCTTTCTAAAATTTTTTTTTTTAGTTGTAGATGAACACAATATGTTTTCTTTCTTTCCTTTCCTTTTCTTTCCTTCTTTCTTTCTTTCTTTCTGTGGTGCTGAGGATCGAACCCAGTGCCAGCAAGTACACAATCACTGAGCTACAACCCCAGCTCTCCTCATCCCTTTTTAAACAATCTATATATATATATATATATATATATATATATATATATATATATATTATTGGTTCTTTTTAGTTATACATGACAGAATACTTTTTAAAATATATTTTTAGTTGTCAATGGACCTTTATTTTATTTATTGACACGTGGTGATAAGAATTTAACCCAGTGCCTCTCACATGGTAGGCAAGGGTTCTCCACTGAGCCACAGCCTCAGCCCCTTAATACATTTTGACATAATATAAAAGCATGGAATATATCTTGTTTTAATTCAGTTCCCAATACCTCTCCTTCACCTTCACTCCTCCTACCCCTACTTTCTTGCTTCTACTGACCTTTCTGTCATTTACCATACTTATTTTTTTTTAATTAATTACTTGTGGATGTACTCAATGGTGAGATTTACTGTGGTATATTCATATACATACATAGGAAAAGTATGTCAGATTCATTCCATTGTCTTTCCTTTTCCCATCCGCCACCCTTCTCTTCATTCCCCTTTGTCTACTCCACTGAACTTGTATTCTTTTTTTTTTCCCCAAAAAATCAATTTAATTTGGAAAGCCTTACATTCACACTGCACGTGCAATAATGGTGTCAGTTAACTATTTTAGAGGGTATAAAACTGAATACAACCCAGTCCTTGATCTCCAAGAGATTCACAACTTTGTAGGTAGGAACCAGATCACTATTATGTAAGCTCTATTACTTGTCAAAACAGATTAAAGTTGTACACATATTATTTTGAGAGTCCTGAAAAAGATGATTTATTTTTATTCTCTAACATCATTTTATCAATGTTTTTACATTCTACACTTTATTATTATATTTATTTGCCATGAAAGGAATATAACTGTGATTCTTATTTTGAGAACTCTCACATTCAGATTTTGACATTTTATTAAGTTCAGTGATGATAAAGATGCTGATGGTAGTACTGGATACTCTCCAGTTCTGCCCATTCTTTTTCCTCTGGCTGTATATTGCATGAGGCTAAACTTCATGGCTTATTAATAAATGGGCATCTCCCCTCTGGCTTCCACTCAGATTAGGCCAGAGGTTCCTGCAGAAGATGGAATGATTGTATTCTTTTTTAAATCCCCCCTCCTTATTGTGGGTTAGCTTCCACATATCAGAGAAAACATTCACCCCCAGCACTTGTTAATTTTTATTTTGAGACAGGGTCTTCCAAAGTTGCTTTGGGCCTTGCTAAGTTCATTTAACATGCTAGTGGTACTTACGACATTTCCCTTAAAATATTCACAACTCATACACTCGCCTTAAGAGTCCAAGTTCCTCAAACATAAACTTATAGGTCAATCTGACAGTCCTATATTTGAAATAAACTCGGGGTATGATCAGCATTTTATGTACAATGACTTCCTGTTTTCTTTCTTCTTTCTCCTCTAATTTTTTCTTAACTCCTATCTCTTCCTTTCTTGTCATTCCTTTCATTTTTGTCCCCATGGGATTCTAATCTCAATTTCCTTATTTATTGGCCAGACGATACTGGGATAGTTATTCTCTCTGGGCCTCAGTTTCCTCTGTAAAGTGGGTTTAATAAGAGAGTGCTTACCTTACCGGATTGTTAAAATTACAACCAAGAACATGCTATATGCCTAGCACATAGTGCCTGGTCTACAGTAAGAACTGAACACGTTCGACCTCTTCTCCCTTCTCTTTTCAATCCTTTTTTCCCTTTATTCCTCAACCCTAGCGTCCAGCAGGTAATGAGGCATGTGAAAAAAAATCCTCGAGGCTAAAAGAGGAAACGGGGGAGCTAGGGGCGGGGACTGCGAGGTGCTCACTGCGCATGTGCGCCCGCTTGGGCAGGTTCTGGTTTCCAGCTGGGGGGGGGGGGGAGGAGTAGAGTGGGGGGTGAAGAGGACTTCGTTTTTTCTGGCTGCCCCCTTCCGGCTCCGGGAAGTGGAGGGACCTTGGCGGCGTCCTGAGCGGGCGCGGAGCTAATCGAGGGACGCCTGGGCCGGAGGGGTAAGTTCGAAAATGGCGGAGGGGGGAAGAAGGAGGAGCTTTGCAAGGCTGACCTCCCAGCCGGAAGGTGGGAAGGAGACGGTCAGGGCCCAGTGGCCAGAGCCTGGCCAAGGAGGACGGACTGCGCCCGAGGCCTCTTGGAGGCCCTGAAGTGAACACACTTCGGGTTCCCCGACTCGCGGTTTCTCCGAGGGACGGGCTAGCTGGTGAAGGCCAGTGAGAGACTCGAAGGAACTTCCGTTTCCTTCTAGGCAGGGGCCCGGCCGCAGAGCGGAGTTGGCATTTCCAGATTGGGGCTCGGGCCGCCCCTCCCCTGGGACCCTCCCCTCAGGACAGAGCTGATCGCCGCCGGCGGTTAGGGCCCGCTTTCTTGGCGCGGTGGGTACTGCTTGTGCAGGCTTTCCTTCCTCCTCCGCCCCCCCACCCTTTGCCTTTTCTCCCCTCCCCTCCCTTTTCCCCACCCTTCCCCTCCCCTCGGGCCAGGCGCTGCTAGGGAGGGCGGGAAGGCCGCGCCCGCCAGCCCGCGGGGGATGCCCGACTGGGGCTACTGGTCCGGGTTCCCAGGACCGCAGGAGGAAGGCGGTGGATTGGTGGGTGGGTAACTTCATGCCTTGGGGTTGGCGTCTTTGAAACCTAGACATTTACGGTAGATGAAGTCTGAGAACTTTTTAAAAAATATGATCAAAGGGACCCCCCCCCTTCCCAGTCAATGTCTGGCACGTATGGAGTAGGGTGGAGCGTGTCTGGCGGGGGCATGTGAAACAGAAAGAATAGAGGCCAAAGAGCTTCCGGAAGAGGAAATTAGCTAGTAATTCTTTCCAACCTTTGCTGTCCTCGCCACCTTCCCAGCATATTCTCTGAAACAAAATGTCAATTTGACTTTCATTTTCAGTATTTTAATTCCACAATTCACTTAAATTGTTTTTTTTTTTTTTGAGGGAGGGGAGTACTTATTGCCCAAATAAGCAATAGCCCTCTTCACCCCCCCACCAAAAAGAAAAAAGAAAAACGTCAATCAAAGCTTTGTAAAAACCTATTCGATTTTAATCATCTACTACTTTGCCTTCAAATATAATTATGTCAGTAGTTCTGTTTCCACTATACCTTGATAGTTAATAACGCATAGAAATTATTTTTTCTAGTAAAACAAGTAAAACAGGAGGTTGCAATTGTATTCCTTTATTTCTTCTTTTCTTCCCCTTAATATTTGTTACAGCCAGTTCAAGAGAACACTGTTCCAGACGGCCATTTTAGAATTATAACATTTTAGAGTTGAAAAGGATCTTAGCTCAACCCTTTTGTTTTACAAAACAGAAAATAAGGCTCAGGATTTCATTACTTGCCTAAGGCTACTTTAGTTAAATTAGAACTCTGGTTGTCTGGTTCCTTGGCCACCACTCCTGTGCTATTGCTTCACATAGCCTCCAAGCACAAAAATTAAAATGTATTCAAGTCAACAGTTCTCAAAACTATACTACTTTGTGCCAGTGACTGCTCTGCCTTCAGTGTATTTAACATGAATGTGAAGCTGGTGCTCAGATTTTTTTTTTGAAGTGAAAAATTTAGGTTAAGATGATTTATATAACATAGACACAGGCACATACACATATGTATACTTATATTTGTTCAGATAATGTCTTGAAAGACACACAGGAGAAATGTTAACAGTGGTTACTTATGGAAGACACACAGGATGGGAGACTTTGCACTTCACATGTGGCCTAATGTACGTTTAAATTTCTTTAAAACAAGTTTTAAAATTCACACACATCTATATGCATTATCAACATAAGTAAGTATATGCCATTGTTATGTATGTGTATGTATGCATATATTCATATGTATTAGTATATTAATGATTTGTACTCTAAAATGCAGTATGGTTTATGTCAGCTCAGCTAACAAAGCAGGCTCAATTATGGGGTGCTCATGTTTCTTCTGTTTTGTCTTATTGTTCCTTGTTAATATAACATAGCAAAAATGATACGTATTTTTAATACATACATTAATACTATGTATCTTTACAAAATGTGTTCAATTTCAAATTTTTTTAAAATGAAGCAAACTAACATTTAGAATATCAAATTTGACACCATGAAAGAAGTCTGAATTATAGAATCTTTGTGGATAAGAATTAATTATTAAAATGATTTAGGGCTTGTGATGTGGCTCAGTGGTAGAGCACTTGCCTAGTATATGCAAAGCCTGGGCCCCAGTACCACCAAAAGAAAAGAAAGTTAACACTGGAAAGATGCCCAGTGATTAGGAGTTTAGTTTTCTTGCTTTTTCAAATATATTAATTAAGATTCAAAGACAAAAAAGTGAATTGCCCAAAGTTAATAATAAATAATTAATAATATCTGATTATTAGTGAAACTTAGACTGGGATCTAGGTTCTAGTCTGGTGCCCCTGGTACTAAACCTGTAATTTTATTGCTTTCTAGTGCATTCAGTGATTCCAGCTAGTCTAACAAAGTAATGGGGAAGGTTAGGCCAATTTCAGTGGGCAATAATTATTGTAATTAATGTACCAGTTCATTTGTATAGTGCTTGAAATATTTTTATGAATGTAAATGTTCCCTTGACATTACATTATAAAATTAAAATACTCTATATTAAATGCCTGGACACCCCAAATGTAAAATAATGAGATTTTGCTTAATATTTAAGTCTGGTAGCTAGGGCCTGGGGCGGGGGAAGCTATTATTTATAGAATAAAATTTACTAAGCGTCTGGGGGGGGGGGGGCATTGTGCTTTTTGGTAGAATTTCCAGGATGAATATGGTAAAATAGATGTCCTTGTTATCTTGAGACTCAAGATAATCATTAGCTGTCTATTCTTAAATTTTATCTCTCTGGGGTAATCTGGTAATGGTATTATAAAATGTAATCTGTTAGCAATTTTTAAGGTCACTGTGTGAATAGACTTGAGACAGAAACAGAATTGGTAAAATAAAAATAAAGTTATATTGAATTGAACAAATATATGATATAGTGGAAAGTACCTTGGATAAAATGCAACAGGACCTATGTTTTTGTCTTGACTTTTGTTTTCAGTTAGCCATAGAATTGTGTTTCTTAGCACTTTCATGTTTCTTTTTCTTTTCCTTTCACAACGTGATATGTTTATTCTACTGAATTCAAAACACATAAAGGGTATTTGAATATTTTTAAGTTATAAAAGAGATGTGTTGTTATAGAAACTTTATGAACTTTGGAATAGGACAAGAATTAAGATCATACTGTATATAGATTGTTTTGATTCTTTTTTTCCCAATCAGCATTCTGTAGTGAACATTTCCTGTCCAGAAAACCCTTTCAAAAATAGTTTTTATCCTATATTATTCTCTGTACCACCTGTAAAATAACAGAGTTAATGTACTCAATTTCAAAGATCCAAAATCTATTATTTTTTTTCGTTTATTATCTGATTTTATTTTTTTAAAATGCCTTGTATGAACCAGGCATGATGGCACATGCCTATGTCAGTCCCAGCTACTACTCAGGAGACTAAAACAGGAGGATCACTTGAACCCAGGAGTTTGAGACCACCTGGGCAACAAAGCAGGACCCTGTCTCCCCCACAAAAAGTCTCTTAACAATATCAAATCTATTTGCAGTAAATATCTTTTTTATGTTTATTTTTTTAGTTTTAGGTGGACACAATATCTTTATTTTATTTTTATGTGGTGCTAAGGATTGAACCCAGTGCCTCACGCATGGTAGACAAGTGCTCTACCTCTGAGCCACAACCCCAGCCCTACAGTAAATATCTTAAAGGGTCAAAAAATTAAGAACAAGGTGGAGGCCTGGCATGGGGGTACATGTCTGTAATTGCAGCTATTTGGGAGGCTGAAGCGGGAGGATTGCAGGTTGGAGCCAGCCTTGGCAATATAATGAGACCCTGTCTCAAAATAAAAATATAAAGGTCTAGAGATGTAGCTCAGTGGTGGGGCATCCTTGATTAAGTCCCCAGTATCATACACTCAAAAAAGGTGGAGATACAAAACTTGATAATTTGAGGTTTATTTTCATGTACTAGGACTGGGGATGTGACTTAGTGGTAGAGTACTTAGTTAGCATAGATAAAGTCCTGAGTTCAGTACCCAGCATACCAAGAAAATAAAAATAAATAAATTTCACATGCTAGGTATTTAAGTTTTAATTTGTTAGAGGTACAAGTAATACATGTTTCTATACTGTGTTAAAAGCTGTTGAGCTGGATACCTATAATCCCAGCAACTCTGTAGGCTGAGATTGGAGAATTGGAAGTTTGGGGCTGGCCTGGGCAATTTGGTGAGACCCTGTCTCAAAAATAAAATAAAAAGGGCTGGGGATGTATGTAACTCAGTGGTACTTATCTAACAGTGTGAGGCCCTGGTCCAATCCCTAATACTACAAAACAAAAGTAAAACATTACAGATTTTAGTTATTATCAAAGGGTAATATGGTGAAAAGAGGATGGGCTATATAATTATCCAAACCTATCCATTGAATTTTGGAAATTTTTAACATGCTTAGTAGATTAGAAAAAATATTTACATGTAGCTAAATATTTAACTGTAACATGGGACCAAGGAAAATGAATATTCGTTTGTACATAGTGTTTGATACTCATGAATGTTAAATATGTTCTATTTTAATTTGGTTTGTAGTCTCTTATTGTGGTACAATTTGCTTTGTTTATTTTAAAATTCTGCCTAGGCAGAAAACAAACCTAACTGTTCAAATATAGACAACAGAATGGCATTCAGATAGAGCTAAATATTTTTAATATGAAAAAAGAAAAGATGTAGGCTCTTATCCAGAACTTGTTTTAATGAAAGTGAGACTGGTAGGATAGGGGAAGAGGGTCAGGGGAAGAGCGAAGTGGAGGTACCAGGAATAAAATTGATCAAATGATGATATGTACATGTACAGATATGCCACGATGACACCCACTCTTCTTTATAATTATTATGCACCAATAAAAAAAGACTTGTTTCAGCTGGGCACAGTGTACCTATAATTTCAGCTACTTGGGAGACTGAGGCAGGAAGATCACAAGTTTGAAGCCAGCCTTGGCAACTGAGACCCTGTCTCAAAATAAAAAGTGATGAAGGTGTAGCTCAGCCAAAGTGTGCTTGCCTAGCATGGGCAAAGCCCTTGGTTCAATTCCCAGTACTGAAAAGAAAAAAAGAATACTTTCATTCTGAGAATTATGTAGGATAGCTATTACCCAATTACTGAGTCATCCTTTAAAAGAACCTCAGCATGGCATTTGTGGAACAATCTCTTTGTAAGTACTGTATCCTAATCAGTCTGTCAGATTAAGTTCCAGTTCTGTGCCAGTAATCAGCTCTATTGCTTTAGTCAGATCTTAAACTTCTGTATGCCTT